AAAGGACAGGAGGGAGGGGGCCAACCTGATCTCACCAGGGAGTTCCATAGTCGGGGAGCAATAACCGAGAAGGCCCTGTCTCTCGTCTCCACCAATCGCACCTGTGACAATGGTGGGACAGAAAGCAGGGCCTCCCTGGAGGATCTTAATTTCTGGGATGGTTCATAGGAGGAGATGCGTTCGGACAGGTAATTTGGGCACATAAGCAAAATCCATCATTAAAAAAAAATTGATAGGAAGATCCCCACCCCACCCCAGGCAATGGGGCTCTGTGCTTAAGCACAACTAAGCACAATGGTAAATCCAGCACTGTTTGTCTGCCTCATGTAATAAAGTCCCATGAAAAAACTGCAATACACCTGGAGGCAAAATGGGGTGGACTACAACATATCATCAAATCATTGGACACACCTACATTTAAACATCGTAAGAAAGATATCAAGAAATGAGCCTTTTCATTGAAGAGTGTTTGGGGCAAGGAAGTGGCAAAGAAGGGCTATTATGTGGTATGAAACACCATGTAACACAAATTGGCTGTCTGGAGGAGTCTCATGCTGCTTATGTACAGATAATAGTACAGCAAGCCCTCTCGAGTGCTCTTTTGTATAATTCAAAAATTGCTTATTCTGACAACCAGAGAAAATGATCTAATAAAAAGCTACAACATTGCTTATTTTATTATGTTTCTTATTCTCTAGGACAAGTGTAGCAATAGATAAGTAATCCATTTTTCTGCTCTTGAAAGGGTACATTCTTCTTCATTTCATTCTGTCCTGTGCCTTACACCTACCTAATGGTTCTCCCTTTTTATTCTGATAGAGTGAAGATTGTGAAACATACAGGGATCAATGGGGCTGTGTTTGTGTGTGTATATGATGCATCATGCTCCAATAAAAGATAAGCATGCCGTCAAATGTGTAGCTTTCTCTCAGCTGTTGGTACTCGAGTGTCCCACATGTTATAATTTGCCTTGAATCCCATGCTGGGGGAAAGGATGGATATCAATCAATTAATTGTGTGGGAGTTCAGCAAACGTTTTCTAGGTCTAGAAACCAGACCACATTCTTTGGCCCAGAGGTCCTTCATCCTAAAAGCAGTGTTGCTCTAAATAGTCTAGGATTGCTATTTTTTACTATCATTTCACATTTTAGCAATGAGAAGTATGGAAAAACCTATGGTTATCTTCATGTGAAGTCCTGATGTTCCTAACTTCAGTCATAACATATGTTAAGAATTGCATGTCCCTAGGAAAGGAAGGTAGACCTTCCCTGAGATGGGTTAACTCCCTTAATCCAGCTCTACAATTTAATACAGTCTCATTTGTAGGCAGATGTCAAAGTCCCTCCAGTTTTTCCAGTTCTTCTTTCCTAATAGATTTTCAGCAGTAAGGGGAAATACAGAAGAAATACAGATAAACAAGAGAAGATTATGAATAGAATTGTGTCTGAATCTACCACCACAAAATTAAGTCAACAAGGGCCAAAACATTTAATCAGAAACTATGTCTGATCTGCAGGGATAGAGCACATTTCTGGGTTGACTGGGGCATGAACATCCAGTTTGATTGCCTATAGAAAAGTGATTCCCAACCTTTTTTTGACAAGGGACCACTTTGACCAGGGACCACTCTCCAACATTAGTACCAAAAGGGTTATAAATCTGTTTTTGGTCAACTTTAGATTCAGTTTGGCTATTTGATGTGCTGATTCAGAAAATGACATTGAATAGATCACATCAGCTCTAGTTTCTGATACACAGCAGATGCCATCCAGTAATTACCATCTGCTTCCCTGCAGAGAACCATATTTAATAATTGAGAGCTGATGTAGTCTACCCAATGCAATTTTCTGAATCAGCACACCAAATGACCCCAGGAACAGGGGTTAAACACAAAGACACCAAGGCGGCTCTACTTCCAGGCGCCACATGGGATGGCTTCGCTCAGGAGGCGGGCAGGAGGAAGGAGGAGAAGCAGCATCCAGGAGGCTTATTGTCATGCCTTTCATGGGTAGTCAGCCTCTCCCCTCCCGACATCCCAGTTGACTCGGCACTATAAGAGGGTTTCACGAGACCAGTCACTCTCATTGCAGTGGTGTAGAAATGGTGAGGCCGCAGACCATATTTTAGTTCTTGTTGGGAGCCACTGCTATACAACATTTGGAAGCTGAAACCTTCAATTCCAATTTAAATTACAGTTAATGCAAGCCATGGGTTGTGATGATGTCTAGATACATCAGGTTTGCTTAGAAAAGCTTAACTCCCACTTCATACTGAGGAAGACTATAACTCAGAAGTAAAGTGCATAATTTGCATGCAGTTTAGTTCCTTTGTGTGCCTTGACATTGCCTTTTGAGCTAGGGCAACTCTGCGAATTTTATAGTTGTCTTAGCCAAGAAATACTTAAGAGCTGGTTTGTCAATTTCTTCTATTGAAATTTAGACTAGAGCACTAGAATCATAGAATCATAGAGTTGGAAGAGACCTCGTGGGCCATCCAGTCCAACCGCTCTGCCAAGAAACAGGAAAATCACATTTAAAGCACCCCTGACAGATGGCCATCCAGCCTCTGTTTAAAAGCCTCCAAAGCAGGAGCCTCTACTATACTCCAGGGCAGAGAGTTCCACTGCTGAACAGCTCTCAAGTTAGGAAGTTCTTCCTAATGTTCAGGCAGAATCTCCTTTCCTGTAGTTTGAAGTCATTGTTCCGCATCCTAGTCTCCGGGACGGCAGAAAACAAGACTGCTCCTCCTCCCTATGACTTCCCCTTACATATGTGGGGAATACATGGCCATCGTGTCTCCTCTCAGCCTTTTCTGCAGGCTAAATATTCCCACTACTTCTTAAACTGTGTGTCCTAACCCCATATGGTGCAAATTTGGGATCCTGAAAAAAATTACAGAAGTTTTCTGAATGCCACCTAGGGACTGTTTTAGACATCCACACTAATCTGTTTGAACTCTGCCAAAGATGCTTCAGCTGTACTTCATAAAAAGGAAACTCAACTTGTTTAGCAAGGCTTGCAAATGTGGATTTGTTATCTGCAAATGTTTGGTTTTTATGCCTATTTTATATACCTGGGGTCACATCAGGCATGTAGCCGGGGGGGGGGGGGCTTGAGGGGCTTCAGCCCCCCCCCCCCGAAATTCTCATGGTGGTTCGCGAAAAGGCCTTACTGGTGCATTATTTAATCTGTTATGTTTATTCATATCATGATCTGATCGCCATGCTCAATATATCCCATATGCATGGGGGTATTGGGGTAACAATAGTCTGCAAGAACTAAAATATAGTCCTTGGCCTGATGATTACTGTTGCAACAAGAGCGACTGGTCTCACTAAACCCTCTTATAGGGTCAAGGCTGATTAAATATGGATTTCTGTGGGTGAGCAAATGGCGACTACTGGATGGCATATGTTCTGTATCAGAAACTAGAGCTGATGTGGTCTATCCAACACAATTTTCTGAATCAGCACCCAAATAACCAAACCAAATCTAAAGTTGACCAAAAACTGATTGGTAACCCTTTTGGCACTAATTTAGGGCTGTTACCTTCAGTCCCTAAATATGATCGTAGGTACAAGTCTCCCTTTCTTTTGACTCTGAGGCCATGTCTTTGGACTCATAACTGATTCTTACAATGATAGTATTTTGAGCTATCAATCATGTTGCAACAGCCCTGGTCAAGTGGTCCCTAGTCAAAACGGGTTGGGAACCACTGGTTTAATCCCTAAAAAGGTAAAGGTTGTCCCCTGACATTAAGTCCAATCATGTCTGACTCTGGGGTGTGGTGCTCATCTCCATTTCTAAGCCGAAGAGCTGTAGACACCTCCAAGGTCATGTGGCCGGCATGACTGCATGGAGCGCCGTTAATCCCTAGCACCTCCAAATTAAAGGATCCTGGGTGGCAGAATAATGCTTGGGGCATTCTGCTTGCTTACAGTTGCTTGGTGTCAGGATCTTGGTGAACCAGCATTGGGGTTTTCTTCTTAACCCTGACACAGATTCCTTACCCATTCTTTCTGGGAAGCGCTTCTCCATCATGAGAAGTGGTTGCTTGTGAAAAGCAGCTGGTTGTTTTTGTTCAAAAAGGAGTATGTGCTCCTTTAGTATTTCCTCATCTTGCTGGATGGTAAAAATTGGGTTCGGGGAGGCGGGGACATTGAGGGGAGCCCTTCACCACCATCAGCCTCTATTCTGGCAACCCCAGAAATCCTCAACCTGATGGGAATTCCAGCTGGTGCTCACCCTGCAATTTGGTGGCAAAAAGAAATGCTCACAGTCCCTTCCTGCGTTGGCATTTACGATGAGCGGATACTCCCCTTCTCTTGCATAGTACACACAATAGAGGTTGATTCAGCACCATTCTCCTCACTGCCATTGTTCTCACATACAGAGGTAAAGGAGAAAAAGGCAGTCTTTTCCGACTTCATGAACCACAAAGCTTTTGGACCCGCTCTTCTTTACCTTCGAGGACATTGAACGTGAAGCAGGCTCCTTCAGGAGCAGCAAAGGACTCAAGGCATCTCTATCCCTCTTGCCTCTTTTCGCCTCCCACTCCCCATCTTGAAGACTTCCCCTCTCCCTTCGCTTTCCTTCCAAGCTTCTCCTCAGCCGGGGAGCGTGCGCGCGAGCGCCTGGGAAAGCCAGCCTGGAGCCCGGCACGCGAGGCTCTCCAGCAGCAGAGGCGCGCGCCCGCCGCTGCTAATCCCCCTTTCGCTCCACGCACGCACGTATGCGCGCGCCGGAGTGGTCGTGCGTGCGCGCGGGCGAGCTCGCGCGCTCCTCGACGGCCAGAGAGAGAGCCAGCCTTTGCGTTTGGAGCGAATTTTAGGGGAAGCCTCTCTTTCTGTGTGTGAGTCTCTCTCTCTCTCTGTCCAGAGATGCGCTCCGGGAGGCGGCGGCTCCTGCCAGGCTCCCGCGCAGGTTCCTCCTGCTGAAAGGCGCCCCTTTTTTCTTCTCCTCACTCCCCGTCCCTGGCTTCCCTCGAAAGCTGAACCCTGGTGAGAGGAAACAGGGACTCGAAGAAAGCAAGAAGCAGAAGAGGAGGAAAGCTCTCCCCAGGCGGTGTGGAAATGCCTGCCCTTCGGCCCTCGCTCCTCGCTGCCCTCCAGCTCTGCTGCCTCTGCCAGATAGGTGAGTGGGAAGAAGAGACGACAATTGCCCCAGCCCTTAAGGCGCACCTCATAGGCTTCCAAAGCGTGGGTCATTTGGGTCAGGGAACTTTGCCCTCTCCTTTCCTTCTGCCCCATTCTGTCGATTTGGAAAGATATCCCCCTCCTTCCTTCCCTCCTCTTTGGTTCTGAGAGGCAAACTTCTCCTGTAGAGCCCCAGGAAAGAACTGGAGAGACCTGTGGTGGTCCAGAAAAGCACCTGTTATTTGCAATCCCAATAGCCATCCAGTCCAACCTCATTCTTCCAGGCAGGAGAATACAATCAGAGCACTCCCAACAGATGGCTGTCCAGTTCCACTGTCCAGTCTCTGATTCAAAACCTTCCCAGAAGGAGGCTTCACCACATCTTCTACTGCTCAATAGCTCATCAGTAAGGTCTTCCCAATGTTTAGGTGGAATCTCTTGTCCTGCACTTTGAATCCATTCCTCTGTGTCATAGAGGCACAGAAAATTTATTTTCTCAGCCTTTCTCAGCCTGCAGGCAACTCTAACCCTAACCCCCCCGCCCGCCCCCGCCTCCCGCCTCAATGTGACATCCTTTTAAATGGCTTGCTGTGAGTTTTCAGGGCTGTTGGCCATGCTCCAGAAGCATTATCTCCTGATGTTTCGCCTACATCTATGGCAGGCATCCTCAGAGATTGTGAGGTCTTGTTGGAACTAGGAAAACAGAGCTTATATATTTGCAGAATGTAGAAGGTTTGTGGGAAACTAGGGAAGTGGGGTTTATATATCTGTGGAATGTCCAGGGTGGAAAAAAGAACTCTTGTTTGCCTGAGGCAAGTGTGAATGCTTTAACTGGCCAGCTCGATTAGAATTGAATAGCCTGGCAGCTTCAAAGCCTGGCTGTTTCCTGCCTGGGGTAATCCTTTGTTGGGAGGTGTTAGCTGGCCCTGGTTGTTTCTTGTCTGGAATTCCCTTCTTCTGAATATTGATCTTTATTTACTGTCCTGATTTTAGAGTCATTCAAATATTTAAACCAGTATTTCATAGAATCATAGAGTTGGAAGAGACCACATGAGCCATCTAGTCCAACCACCTGCCATGCAGGAAAAGCACAATCAAAGTATTTTAATCTTGACCCCTCCCCCACATACACACACACAACCTTTATTTCTCCAAGCTAAACAGACACAGTTCCCTAACCTGCTTCTCACAGGGTTCGGGTTTGATGAGTTTGGCCCCTTTTTTCTGGGCACATTCCTTTAGGTGAGATGAGCATCTTCTAAAACCAGGGATGTGCCTTGAAGCCAGGCAAAGCGGCTCCTCCCCCTTTCTTGACCAAAGGGTTGAGAAGGAGGTTTATGTCTTCTCAGTGTCTCTCCTGGGAGACACATTGATTTGGAGGTGCCTCATGCTCCAACCCTCCATGCTCAGGGGCTTTGCGCTGAAACATGGGAGTTCCCCAAGGCACGGGGAAGCAGGGGTGGGCGGATAGTATTTCAGCCATTCTCTTCTGAAACACTCCCCTTGGAGTCCCTGCACACATGACCAAAGGGAGGGAGTCGGAGAATGAGAAATCGCCTACAGTCCAACAGGCATCGACCTGCCTTTGTGGGGTGTTGGATGGCACTGCGTGTTCGGGCAGTTAGGTACTGGGTGCTATCCCAAGGATATCTCTTCCTACTAAAATGCAAAATTAGCAATGGGATGGCAGAGGCTGGGAAGCCATTCTATGGCTGAGGGGGTTCCTCAGACTAATAGCATCACATAGATTTCTATGTGTCAGGAGAAAATAATATGCTCACCGATCAATGCATTCAATTCAGGACTCGTGCATCCAGACTTGATTTTTCCTCCTTGACAGTGCAGCTTACATAATCAAATTAATATTGAATGTGTTCACTTGCATATTAGTGTGCCCGTCCCTCCTATTTAATTTTGCCAGGACTTGAAAACAGGCTTCTGAGTTAAACCAATATTGTGTTAAAGAGTCAGATTGCTAAATACCAATGCGATAAACATCAATCACCAAACAAAACGCAAGGTTCTTATTTGTATGCGACATACAATCGTGGCTATTACGTTACAATACTAGCATCTGCCAAAGAGAGAGGAACATATTGTTTCTACTACTGTGAGAATCAAGATTTACTGCAGTCATTTCTATCTAAGTCCCAGTTTTACAACCGATAAAGTAGATATTAACCTATATTTGTATCCAATAGGTGGTGCTGCTTTTAGTACGTTAAACCTTTGTTAAACAGGAGGATCAGTGTCATGCTTGATCTTTGCAAGAAATTTAATTATCATGTGATTTATTGAATGTGTAAAATTAACTTGATGTTTCATTTTGAAGACTGCTAGAAGGGCTTGGTTTATAAATAAAGATGAACTAAAGGTTCAGTAGAGGTAACCCTGAAATGACATGAGCAATGCAATGGCATTCTTAGTTCTGTTGTGGCTGCTATTGTGTACTTCCCTTTAAAATGTTGCAAATATGATTGTTTCAATAGGAATGGTTATCTTATCCAGAGAACCAATAAATATCTATCTAAATATCTGATAGCAGAAGTCTTTCATTAGTAAACTCAGTTTCAGCTGGAGTTTGCTTGTTTCTTGACAGCGAGCAGCATTTTCATAGCTGCTGGAATGGCTGAAAGCAATATGCACTGTTTATATTACTAAATTTTATGTTGTTCCTGCTTTTGGAGTAACCGCATTATAATTTTTTTGTAGTGAGGTATAAGTCAGAACCACATTTTTTAGTTTTATATATATTTTCAAAACAACATTTTTGGAAAGTCGGTGTTACCTTTTAATGTGTGCTACAATATGTTGTTGACGGCTTTCATGGCCAGAATCACTGGGAGTTTTCTGGGCTGTATGGCTATGTTCCAGAAGCATTCTCTCCTGGTGTTTCATCCACATCTATGGCATGCATCCTCAGAGATTCAACCATAAGGTTAAAGGTAAAGGTTTTTCCCAGACATTAAGTCCGGTCATATCTGACTCTTGGGGTTGGTGCTTATTAACATTTCTAAGCTGAAGACCCAGCATTGTCTGTAGGCACCTCCAAGATCATGTGACTGGCATGACTACATGGAATGCCATTACCTTCCCGCCAAGGTGGTACCTATTGATCTACTCACATTTGCATGTTTTCCAACTGCTGGGTTGGCAGAAGCTAGGGCTAACAGCAGGAGCTCACCCTTCTCCCTGAATTCAAACCACCAACCTTTTGGTCAGCAAGTTCAGCAGCTCAGTGGTTTAACTTGCTGTGTCACCAGGGGCTCTGGATCATGGTCGTGCAGCCTGGAAAAACTCACAGCAATCTTGTGGTGCAATGGTTTGAGCATTGAACAAGGACATTGGAAGCCCAGGGTTCAAATCCCTCATTGGTCACAGCAACCTACTGGGTGATCTTGGACAAGTTATGCACTCTCAGCTTCAGAGGAAGGTAGTGGCAACCCCTTCTGAACAAATTCTTCCATGAAATTGGTTCACTTTATGGAATTGGTTCACTTTAGAATTGCCACAAGTCAGGAATTACTTGAAGACACAAAACAACATTCTGAGAATGCTTTGACATGCTTAATATGCAAAGGGGTACAACAATTAAATGAATAAGAACAAAGTTAAATTAGATGTGAGATTAGGTGTTACTTGGTTGTATCCCTCTGAATCATCTTTTTTAAATATGAAGTAACATAAATTACTTGGTCTAAATGGTAGTGTATTGCTTATCTTATAGATCCACACTACTTCTTTATTCAGTTATGTAATAATTCTTGTGCATGAATACACTTGTTTCATAAAGAGCAAGTGGACAGAACATATTGTAAAGAACAAAAATAACTTTCTGGGTATTGTCAAAGGGTTTCATGGCCGGAACCACTGGGTTGTTGTATATTTTTCAGCTTGTATGGCCATGTTCTAGAAGCATTCTCTCCTGATGTTTCTCCTGCATTTGTGGCAAGCATCCTCAGAGGTTGTGAGGTTTGTTGGAAACTAGGAAAATGAGGTTTATATATCTATGGAAGGTCCAGTGTGGGAGAAAAAACTCTTGGGCTAGGTGTGAATGCTTCAATTGGCCACCTTGATTAGCATTTGAAACTGGCATGACAGTTTTTAGGTGTGGCTTTCTAGCCTTGCACTACACATTTTTGTGGATATATTAAGACAGAAATAGTGTTCAATTCTGAAAGTATTGCAGAATGTCATGGTGCAGTCTAACTCTAGACTATCAAATTGTCAGTGTTTATTTGGAGGTGTCTTTATAGATGTAAATGCTTTTTATTAGTGTCTATTTCCTATGCAATATTCACATTTTGAATAACCTGCCTTTATCACTAAAAAGTTTTTTTAAAAAATTGGCATACAAATTACTCAACAATCATAACATCCATGTGTCATGAAGATGATTTTTGTGGTTTGTATCAGCAATGGCAGCTGGTAGCTTCCATGGCAGTGGGGTGGAGAATCTGAACTTTAAAGGACCTATCCAGTGTATTGAAGTTATTTTGGGTTTAGCGCTTTGGATAACTACATTACATTTGGAGTAAAACCCACCACAGCGATATGGAAGTCATTATTCATGGCTATGTATCACTGTGAATAGGTGCATATCATTTGCCATCGACTACTGCAGACTTTATGTTGCAGTCTTATAATGTTGGTTGCTTTGATATAACATAATTTCACCACATTCAATGTGTTTGTATATGATCTTACTGTTATACACGTGATGATGAAGATTAATATATGTAGTCCCGCTCCGATTAAGGAGTAAACTCACACCTTTGTCTTTGCAGCAAACTTTATGCACACGCACACACACACACATATATATATACACATACACATACATACAGAGTCAATTTACAGTGCCTGAAGACTGAAATATTTCTTCAGCCTTCTTTTCCTGTTACTTCCAGATAACTGGAGATTTCTTACTTGAAGCAGGTTGTTTTTTGTAGTCCAATTCTTCATGATATTCCAACCTTCAGTTTCCTCAGGACACAA